AAACGGCATGCTATTACTCCCGCAAGTTAAGGATAGTTGATCCCTTTTTTTGGAGTGACCCATATCCTTGCAATATCACAATTAAAAGGGAGCCTAAGAAAGTTGAGATATGAGTTAAGCATTTTTTAATAGAGCTAGTCGAGCCGTGCAGCTTCGGTTTTTTAGATTTAAGACTTTAGTCGAGGACTTTAGTCGAGCCCAGAAAAGTAAGAAAAATCAGCAGAAAGTAAAGTAAAGTCAGCAGAAAAGTTAAGAGAATTAATTAAGAAAATTTAAGAAAAATAATTAAATGGTTTAATTAATAAAGTAATTCCATAATTTATTTTATAAATTCTCCAAGTAAAATATTATATTAAAAATGCTTAAACTTGTAGATAAAAAGGAGTTGAACCCTCAGAAGATCAATTTGAGCATTCGAGCATTCATTTCATCCGCATTCCAGGTGGGAATTTCTAAGATATGTCTTATTCTTAAAAATCGCATGATATTTAGGTTGAAGTATTTTTGTCAGTATTTTCTTGAGCGTGGGCATCAGTTAGATCTCCCGTCGTAAGATGGGGAGCGTCCCATGCATCCGACTGTGAGAGTATCTACACATGAGATAACCATCCGTTTGTATGCGGGGGAGCGTCCCATGCATCCGGCGGATGAGTTAAGTTGAGACTAGTTTATTCATTTTCATGCTGATATTATCGTATCTGTTATTACTCAATCGCATATCAACTTTAATTATGAGATTCAAAAGTCGAGTTCGCAGTTGGGAAGAGAGTTTCCCATAAGCACTTAAGTTAAGTTCAAAGGAGAAAAGCAGTTTCAATAAGTAAAGAGAAAAGAAGTTTTTTAGTAGTCAAGAAAAGTTTTCAAATAAGTATCCTAAGTTGAGTTTAAAAAAAAAAAATTAAGTTGTTTTCAAAAAAGTTCGAAATTCAAATTTTGTTGAGAAATTAATACTTTTCAAAGAATAAAAGGAGTGTGCTAACAAATTTACCTAAAAATCTTTGCCTAGCTAAAGTTGATATTATTGTAGTAAAATGGCATAATTTGTTTTTTTTGTTTTTCTGGAATGATATGTATTATATAAAACGCACAACGTGAAAAAATCCTGCCAAAGGCGGAAAGATACAACCAACGGTTGAATAAACTGGGAAGCAGATTCAAATATCGCCTAAAGCCGGACCTAGCAACACTAGAAAACAAAGACACAACACTATAAAACAAAACTACCACAAACTAAAAGATCCCAAAAGCATAATGCCTGAGTGAGAAACGGTCCCAACAGGATAATCAAGTACTCACTCGGGTGAAAAATGGCATAATTTGTTATACTTTTGTTTATGTTTTTATTTTTATTTTTTTTATTTATGACGTTTTCTAATAAAAGTATGCATTTTTGTAAGAGAATATTGACGGTTTCAATTTGAGACTACAAAATACTACTCTTTAAGTCAAGTTATTTATAAGACATAAAAATTATCGATATACAATCGTATTCTTTCAATTTGTGTGCATACTTTAATACTTAATCGTCATACTTTTTAGTGCGATATAAATAAAATTATGGCAATTCATAGGATACGTCTTGGATCATCTCTAAGGGATTCTTCAATTTGGGCCGAAGAAGGAATGAAACTCCATCATTTTAAGGGTTTTAGAATATATATATATATATATATATATATATATATTTATACTAGTCGGCTCTTGCCGTGCAAAGCACGGCCGGCCCACGGTTCAACCTAGAATATTGTTTATAATTAGAAAATGATCAAAAGGTAATATAGAAACCACAAATAGATTGTTACCTAATAACACATCGATTAGAGTGTACACCCATAAATACATCAAATTCTTAAATCAACATAATCAAAAAAGTGTTACGAATAACAAGAATTTTAATTTTAGTGGCCCCCCCTCTCATGTATGTGCATCCGTCCCTGCTTATGTCCTTTTTGTAGTTTTGGGCTATTTTGAGAATTTTAATATATGTAAAAATATGCAAATGCAAACTGTTATTGTTTCTGGATCCTTTTTAATATATGTAAAAATATGTAAATTGTTTTTGTTTCTGGATCCTTTTGAGATGTATAATGATATTGTCCGCAATGTTTTGAAAAATAAACCTGGATTTTTAATAAGTTAGTTTGAGAGAATGTGACTTGTATTTCAAAATACGAGAATATTTAATAGTAGAAGAGCGGTCGTGACATTTTGTGAGTGCATTTATATTTACTTACAAGTTTTTCAAACCACAAATTTTTTAGTTGTAGGGTTAGTTCGGCCTAGTACTTATTGAAATAAAAAAAAATCAACTCCAATTAACTTTTATATTATTTATGAACGGTTAATTTATAATTTATTTTTCATTAGTTTTTGAATTGTATTTCTTTTTTATCCCTCCTTTATAAATAGTTTCAAAAGTGTAATCAACCAATGAAATGTTTGGTGACAACGGTTTTAAGTTTGCTCGGCTGGACCCCATCCAGTCCGGAGTCTCTTCCATCTGCTTCGCTATTTCTATCCCCTGCTCTATTTATTTTATTATTAAAAAACCGTACACTCTCTAATTCTCTCTTGATAAAAGTTTTTTTTTTTTTTGAACCACACTTCCTCAAACTTTATGGCAGTTCCTGCACTTTTCATAGATTCTCCATTCAAACTGTACTGCGCATCTTTCTCCTTTCTTTCCTCTGCCTCATTTGCAGTCCCTTGCAACTTATTACCCAATTTATTTATATTTCGACTAAAAGGGTCTTTTCTCTTCCTCTTTTGCTGTCGACTAAAAATGGTTGCAGAAAGGAAAAAAAAAAGTTGCGATTCTTATCTAGCGAACAATGCCAAGATTTTGTCTTTTTGTTTGTTGTTGCGTTTTGGTATTATTGATTTAGGATAGAGGTTGTGTGGTTGAAAGCCTGGGCGTGAATTGGGGTACGATGGCGAGCCACAAGTTGCCGCCCAAGGTAGTGGTGCAGATGCTGAAAGACAACGAGATAAAGAAGGTGAAGCTTTTCGATGCGGAGCAATCAACGATGAGCGCATTGGCCGGCACCGACATTGAAGTTATGGTTGCGATCCCTAATGACCAGCTCTCTGTCATGGGCAGTTACGACCGAGCTAAGGAATGGGTCAGGCGCAATGTAACCCGCTACAATTTCAATGGCGGTGTCAATATCAAGTACAACTCACCCTTTCTTTTTCTCTGTTTATTCATTGATCTACCCCTTTTGCTAGAATTGAATCTGGTTTTACAAATTCCATTTTTGGAGGGTTGCTTGTGAAAATGTTTGGTCTGTTTTTTAGCAGAGCTTCACTGGGTTTGTACGATTTGATTGTAATATAATATCTCTTAGTTTGAGATATTGATTCTAATCAGCTTAAAAGATTGTGACTAACTTGTAATATTCATCTGTGTTCACATCATTTTTCCAAATAAAGGATCTTGCTTGCTCTAGTGTTTTTGTCATGTTGAGTCAATGGTTCAAACAAGTTGGTGTTTGAAAACTCATATGGAGCCAAATGATTTAAAATGTGAATTGTCTTACCGTTTTCCTTGACAAAATAGTTTGAACTGTACTAATAATCCAACTTAGTCATAGCAATGCATCAGATTCTGAACATAAACCTACTCAGAGTCAGAGAAGAGTGGACACAAATTTACTTTAACTTTTGTCTTCTTTGACTTTTACAAATTTGCTTTGAACCCTTTTTTTGAATCTCGTGAATCTCATCCCGGAATTGATCCCCAATCGAGATGGAGTAAAAGAGGTGTTGGGTTGGGTTTAGCTGCTAAAAAAAAAAAGACATACCTGTATATATATCTACATATGCGTCTGCGCGTGTTTATCGAATAGCTGAACAATATGACAAAGTTTATGAAATGCCCTTTCCAAAGTAAAACTTAATACATAATAGTGTCTCCTTTTACCTGCTATGTGTGTGTTTCTTTTCAACAATTTTTTCAACACAATGAACTCACTGTTTCAAAACTCTGGGTGGGGCAGATATGTGGCAGTAGGGAATGAACCTTTCCTCACATCCTACAACAAGACTTTCCCAGCTCTTCAAAAAAAAAACATTCAGAACGCCATAAATGAAGCTGGGTTTGGGGACTCCATCAAAGCAACTGTACCCCTAAATGCCGAAGTTTACGGTTTGCCCCCAGGCAACAGCGCCCCGTCTGCCGGCCGATTCCAAGCCGACATCTTGCCTCAGATGAACCAAATCGTGGACTTTCTGCACCGAAACAATGCCCCCTTCACCGTCAACATATACCCTTTCCTCAGCCTCTACGGTAACGAGCACTTCCCGATCGACTATGCCTTCTTTGATGGGGGCAGTACCCCCATTGTCGACGGTGATATTCAATACACCAATGTGTTTGATGCCAATTTCGACACCTTGGTCTCATCCCTAAGGGCGCTCGGTTATGGCGATATGCCCATAATGGTAGGAGAGGTCGGGTGGCCAACAAACGGAGATATAAATGCCAACGTTAACTACGCGTTACGATTCTACAGAGGGCTTTTGCCGAGGCTAGCGGACAATAGGGGGACCCCTCTTCGACCGGGTTACATAGAGGTTTACCTTTTTGGGCTTCTTGACGAGGACATAAAGAGCATAGACCCGGGTAATTTCGAGCGCCACTGGGGAATTTTCAGGTACGACGGACAACCCAAGTTCCCGATGGACTTGAGCGGACGGCAAAACGTAGAGTATCTTCCCAGCAGATGGTGCATGCTTAGACCGGACGCTGACCAGACGAGACTTGCGGAAAATATCAACTTCGCGTGTTCGCGTGCCGACTGTACTGCACTAGGCTACGGTTCTTCGTGCAACGGCTTGGATACTAATGGGAATGCATCGTACGCGTTTAACATGTATTTTCAGGTGCAGAGTCAGAGAGATATGAGCTGCAACTTCCAGGGACTGGCAATGGTGACTCAACAGAATATATCACAACTCAACTGCAATTTCACAATTCAGATAGCAACCTCATCATCTTCCTCACATCTGATTGGTGTGCCGTTTTTTATTTTAAGGGCCCTCACGTTTCTATTTTTAGAGATGTTTTTTTTCTTATTAATGAATACCTCACCTCATTCATGTGAGCTATACTATTTTTTACATTGATTTGAGTTATTGTTTTGGGACTATATTTTTGTGGGATTATTGACTTGAATTCAATTTATAATCTTCTGGTTTTCTTCTGTATTTTTAGTTCAGTTTATATGTTCAATGACATCGAAAAGTAAGACTATATAGCACCTTCCAAGTTGACATACAAAATTGAAAGTGATGAACTGATGGTAAAAAGATAGTTTTGTACTAGAGGGACAACTAAAAGTGGATAGTAAAGAACCGCCCTAAACACTTTAAAGTCGAAGAAAACAAGGAAGTGCTAGAAAGAAAAAAAAATATGTTGCAGAAGAAAAAGAATGGTTCCTTTTATTTTTATTTAAGATTTGATATTTAGTGAATTATCAATTATGAACAAATATAAATAACAAAAATTGTGTGTTACATGTCTTTTGCTTTTCTGATTTTGTTGTCCAGGACTCCAGGGTATCTGGTAATTGGAAAATCTACATTCATATTATTTTAAATATACAAATAAATGGTTGTCAGGTTGTGGGAGTTTATTGAAACAATTGTACATTTTTTTTCTGTTGTTTTGCTATGAATACATAAGCCATGCAATTTCAATCTTATATCTATTCTGAACTTCAAAATATTTTATCACAGCGAGATAAAAAAAAAATTAGGAAAAAGTCTATATGCGATTTTAAATAGTATGTTTATGTCTATTATGCAATTTTTTTTTCCTTAAAAAGGGGTTAAATATGAAGATGAGTAGCTGATGGGACTAAAAGTAAAATAATAGGAGTTTCGAGGGGGGAAATGCAAAAGATTTTACTGGTTTCTCTCTCTATCCAGCCCCTCCTCCATTGAAGCTGCTTCATTCAGCGCGAAGTTGATATTTGAGGAGATGATCGTGTAACTGCAGAATTACACTCGTTACCATTAGTAATCAAAAAATAAGATTTGGCCCGAAATTTGTTGCATCGATCCCCGTTAGAGGCGACGTGAATTGATATTGAGAAATGTGGTTAGCTGTTCATTGAGATCCAACAGCAGAACAGAAATCCGTAACAACAACAAACCAGTGGACAAGGCAGGTTCGGAGAAGAAGCAAGTGAGGAGAGAAACAGATAGATGAAGGGTGGGGGTGGGGGTGGGGGTGTTTCATCGTCATACTCCTTTCCGGCCAAGAGAAGATGGAAGAGTCTGGTGATGGCGGTGCTTGGCCTGGTATTTCTTTCCATGCTCGTCCCTCTTGTCTTCTTGCTCGGCCTCCACAGCGGTTTCCACTCTACCATGGGTAACCCTCTTTTTTCCTTACCTGCTCCGTACCTCTTCCGATTAGATCTGGCTCACTGTACCTTAAATTCTTCTGCTTTCCAGTCAGGTTTCAACCTGTCTTCGCCTTTGTAATCAAGAATCCTTGTTTTTTACCTTTTACCTTCCTTTTTTGTTTCCATTTTGCTCCCGTGATCAAATTGAGCCTGTATCATTTCTGCATAATTAAATCTTAAATGGAAACACATGGGTGTCTTTATGTTTTTGTTTCTGGGTGAGCCCCGACCAGCAGAAATATGTTTATGATTTTTATTTTTTTTTTAACAATTTTAGCTATCTGAATGTGGAGCTGGTTATTCTAATTTCTGGAAATCATTTCAGGATATGGTACTGAACCACGGAATTCAGGCTCAGTAAGTATTTCTTGACATACTACAAGATTGAGAAATTTTTAATCCCTCTCTTTCCTCTCCCATCCTCTCTATTCAGAAAAGTAACTATAACAATTTTATTTTTGTTGTTGTATGGTTCTTGATGTGGCCAGAACGATTTAAGAGTTTTTGATCAACACAATCCTACTGATATTAGTAATCAATCTAAGGTATAAAACATCATTGCCCATTGGGTTGCTGATGCATACCTACCGACTGCTTGTTTTGACCTCTTACAATGTGCCGCACTTATATTAAGTCGTTATGTTTTCAGTCCACGTAAGATTGCATGTGCTTGTAGATTTTGTTCATATATGATGGTGGAATAATTTTGCAGTGCAGCTATAGTTCTTTTTAGATGCTTCTTCTCGAGCAATCTTATCCTTTTTGGCAATCTTATCCTTTTTGGGTTCTTTTTGTAGGTTCGCCAATCAACTCATACAGATGATCTTATAAGGAGATTGGTTCCAACCCTTCCACAGGTTCATTGTCTATATTTTTATGATTAAGAGGACTTTCGATTGATTAGATTCTTCGTAACAGAAATAGTCTTTGGTACCTGATGGCAGCTACAATTAAATGAAAGTATCTTTGTAGAGTTGATATAGATTGGAATTCTCTTATTCCAAATATGATATAGATTGGAATTCTTTATACATTAAAGAAGAACAATTCAAACCGACTTGATGAACTTAAACACCAAATAAAAATTTTACATGCAAAGTTCCTTTTTTTTTTTTTCTGTTTAGTGGGAACAATGGGGAATTGTGTTTTCGCCAAGGCGGTGAGCTGTATACTAGAGTTCCACTTGTTTCTTAATTTCTGTATAGCCTTACCCACACTATTTGATGGACACGTGATATAGAACAACATACAGTGTCAAGTAGAATCATTCTTTCCTTGTATGCTACCTATTATTATTATCCCCAAATCACTTCGCAAACACCTGGTCCTTCTATTGCACAATTCTGTTTTTGGTGTAAGTTGACCTCCTTGTCCAGGTTTACAGTTTAAACTTGTCAAATCACTTCTCTCACTTCCTATCAATTGGTAATTCTATTGCTTAGCATGAACACTTACAATATTTATCATTCAGATCTTTGATCTGGATGGTTGTACAGAGTTGTGTATTCTCCTACCTGTTTACCTTCAACCAGATCTTGCTTGTGTGCTGTAGCCTATTTCAGGAATTTTTTTTTTTTTTTTTTTTTTTGGTTCATCAATTTCTTTTATGTAAAATGTACCACAGGTTTTTCTGTGCCAGCTGCTGTGCCAAAAGAAGTTCAAATGGTATTATCATTTTCAAATTGAAAAACTTACTTTCTGCATTGTTATTGTTTATGATTTGTTGTACATTCTGTCGCAGGATAGCAAGCCTCCTATTGTCAAAGGTCGCACTAGTAACAATATGATAGTGGTTGACGAGAGTGAAATGATATGTCAATTAAAGTTTGGGAGTTACTGCTTATGGCGCCGAGAACAAAAGACAAAGATGGATGACTCTATGGTTAAGAGGATGAAGAACTTATTATTTGTTGCTCGTGCTTATTATCCAAGTATTGCAAAACTTACTTCACAGGAGAATTTGTCTCATGAAATGAAACAAAATATTCAGGATTTTGAACGTGTTCTTAGTGAAACCACAACAGATAAAGACCTTCCTCGACAGTATGTTCAAATACCCTTTCATTCAGTACATTGTGTTTTATAGTTCTAAATTTATCTATTAGTTCTTCTCCATCATGAGTTGATTACTGCTAATTATGAGGAAGGCTACGCATAATTTATCAATTTAATGGTTAGCATCTGAGTTGGTGTGAACTTTACTTTCTTTCTGTTTTTCTGAATCAAGCTTACCCATAACTGGTGTCGAGGTTCTTTCAGAAAAACTGATGACCACCTTATAAATGTTGCATTAAGCAGCTTCGTCATAGATATTCAGTTTTGTAATATGAATCTGGAAGGCTAATGAATGATTCTCCCATTCCATCAGCTATGAGCACCAGATGACTGTGATGGAGGCTTCTATTGCTAAAGCGAAATCATGCCATGTGGACTGTAATAATGTTGATAAAAAGTTTCGACAACTGGTCGACCTGACTGAGGACGAAGCAAATTTTCACATGAAGCAAAGTGCCTTCCTCTACAAACTGGCTGTTAAAACCATGCCTAAGAGTCTACATTGCCTATCAATGAGATTGACGGTAGAATATTTTAGATCTTCTGTGGACATTGAGGAGACACTGGTTAAGAAGTTTGTAAACCCAGACTTTTTCCACTATATCATCTTCTCCAGGAATATACTATCATCATCTGTAGTAATAAATTCGACTGTTCTACATGCAAAAGTATGATCTTTTTGTCGGTCTTGTTCTTTTCATCGATTTGTTCTATCTTATTATATATATACTCCAATTAGCATGGTTGTGCAATTGATGAGGCTTTATTCTACTTGTAGGAAACTGATAAACAGGTTTTCCATCTGCTGACAGACGAGGAAAATTACTTCGCTATGAAATTATGGTTTTCCATGAACAAGTATGGGAATGCTGCGGTTCAGGTTCTGAACATCAAGGACCTGGAGTTGCATAGTCATCATAAGGTGGCACCATTACATCTGTCATTGCCCGAAGAATTCCGCGTTTCCTTTCGTAGGGTTGATGATAAACTGTCTTCTATCCAATTTAGAACGCAATACCTATCCATGTTTTCTCATTCCTTCTATCTCCTTCCTGAGATTTTTCCATCTCTAGAGAAAGTTGTTGTTTTGGATGATGATATCGTCGTTCAGCGAGACTTGTCATCCCTTTGGAACCTTGACATGGGAGGAAAAGTAAACGGTGTAGTGCAGTCATGTGCAGTGAAGTTATTTCACCTGAAAAAATACTTGCCTGTTAGTAGCAGTTTTGACGAAAATTCTTGTTCCTGGACGTCTGGGATATCTGTCATTGATATATCTAGGTGGAGGATTTACAATCTTACCAGAACATATCAGCAGTTGGTACATGAGGTGAGTGAAGGTTTTAAACAAATTGATATTTGCAATTTCTTGTTTGTGTAAACTAAATGTTGGGTACGCTGTTAACATAATTATAAAGCTCGAGAGGGTGATTGCTTACTCGTTTTTCTTATTTTGGAGCAGATGAGCAGAGAAGATGGGTTATTTGAAACTAGTACGTTAAGTGCCGGCTTGCTCACATTCCAAGGTCTAGTGTATGGTCTTGAGGATAGTTGGATGTTATCTGGTCTGGGTTACAACTACGAACATAAGTTGCAAAAAGTGGGTTCAGCTGGAGTATTGCATTTTGATGGGAGCATGAAGCCGTGGCTTGAGCTTGGCATACCCAAGTACAAAAGATTTTGGAGGAAATATCTCAACACACAGAATCACTTCTTGAGCGAGTGTAATGTAAATCCGTAGAAGTTATTATAGCTGCTCTTTTTCTTCTGAAAAATTGAGGTGATGACTGTACACTACTGGACATATGGAGTCCAAGGGAAAAGCTTCAGCCAATGGGTCAAATTTGATGCAGGTAATCCATGTGTGTGTGTTTGAATTTGAAAGGAAATCTCTTATTTGTGTTGGTTGCTGTGGTTGAAGTAAACACCGAGTTCAGTTCTGGCGATAAGACGTATAATTTTAGTTTTATTTTTTTAAATTTTTTCATGTTTGCCTATGGGAGAACTGGCATTCAGGAATCTTGGCCGGAAAATGATTGGTCAGTGCCAGCCGTTGAGGGGTACTATTATGCTGTGTGGCTGCTAAATCTTAGCATGCGAATATTATTTTGTACCTTTTGCATGCCTGGCAAATACAGTATACGTACATTTATGAACTCGGATTGTGTTGCTATTGTTGCACTGCTTCATTTATCATTTTTGAGAAGATAATAAACTACATTAGATAATCGCCAGCATTTGACAGAGATTGAATTTGGAGTTACACGTGAAAATTGAAGCTGGAGGTGAAAAGTTCAATATGAAGACGTGAATCACGCCATTGTTTTATAGCTTTGTGAATGGTCTGAATTATTAAAGTGAAAAATGTCAAATCAATGTTATGTTGTGATTTGTATAGAAGGCATTTATGACTGATTTTGATTATTAACGGTATGCAAAGAAATTGTTGTGTGGTCCTAAAATTCAAGATATTCGTGGAGAGGGGAGGTGCATTTATTATTACTCAATTGGCAACTAATAACCATCAACAAACTGGACTACCAATTAGGGTGACAAGTCAAACACGCCAATTGAGAAAGGTGAGAACAATTTAATTGCATCCCTCGGTAATATCACTCACTATTGCAGGAGATACGGATTTGAGTACTAAGTGATTAATTATGTTAATACACCTACCTATCCAAGACATACTCCCTCCTATCTTTATTATTTGTCATCCTAGCTTAATTGATCATTTGTTAAATAAATGTCGTTTTGGTTATTTTGTACATATTTTTTTATTATTACCCTCATCTAACTAATAAATACACTACGTCTTTTTATATTCACTCTTCATCTTTTCTCAAAACATCAATCTCTATCCTTATTAATGAGGGTTATTATTGACAAAAAAAATATTATTAATTATTGTGCAACTTCTCAAAACGACATTTATTAAAGATAGGAGGGAGTATTTTTTAAATGTGAGTTAGTCCATATATTAAAATTCTAATCCTAAATATAAAGTCTTATTAACCCTTACTTCCATCATGTTGTCTTAATTTAAAACTTATTCATTAAGTTTAAGAAAACAATAATATTGAATAATAATTAAGAGATATATCTGATCTATATTATACCTTGTAATAAAAACAATCTTTTATCATAAATTCTTATGTGGGGAGAATATTATACTTTTTGTATTTTCTTTAGAATATAACATTTTATTTTAAAAGTATGCAACCATTTTTATTTATTTTTGTTAGTTATTGTGATTAATAAGTCACATTTATTTGGCTAGTCATGTAGAAAAATCACATAAACAGTCAGGTAGAGAAGTTTTCGGGAAAGAAATATAATATTGCACCATGCCGCAAGCACTAGCAATAGTTATATAATTCACCTGACCATCAACACCATTTTGTTTGATTTTATTAGCAATAGTATAATTATTAACACCAACACAATTTTGTTTGGTATGGTTTAAAAATCAATTGGTTGGTTCATGGTTGTGTACTCGGTACGCCCTCATTAGGTCACACACCATTTTTTTAAATATATATACTTTTATTACGAAATGATATTTTAATACTAATATATATAAGTATGATACTTAATACTATAAGATGAAGAATATATATAATTAATTAACGTATCAAGTTAACTACCTGGCTGCCCAGTTTGCCAACGGAACTGAATATATACATCACTAACCAAACTGGTCTTCCACTGTCTATCAGGTTCAGGTGTAGCTTTTAATTAATCTAATTTAAACTAATCTCAATCCAAATTCCAATTGATCTCAATTAATTAATTAACTTAATTAATTACCCCGATTTTTGTCGTCTAATATGAATGCCAACAGATCACATCCGCACAGATTGGACGTTGAAGCTGGGTCGCCTTCGTCGTTGCGACCAACCAAGCCGGAGGATACGCTGATGACCCCGCCGCCGCCAATGGCCACAAAATCGAAATCGGCCAAATGCAAATGCATCTGCCTGTGTGTGACCGCCGTAATATTAGGGCTGGGCTTGCTGTTCCTAATCCTAGGGCTGACCGTCTTCAAGGTCAAGCGGCCCCTCACCTCCGTCGATTCAGTTTCCCTCGACGATCTCGACTTCTCTGTCGACTTCTCCAGGCTTCAGCTCCGCCTCAACCTCACCCTCGACCTCCGCATCTCCGTCACCAACCCCAACCGCGTCGGCTTCAGGTACGCCAACAGCACCGCTCTCCTCCGCTACAGGGGCGACGAGGTCGGCCAGGTCCCCGTCCCCGCCGGCCGAATTGGCGCCCGCGACACACGCTCCCTCAACCTAACCCTCACGCTCATGGCCGATCGACTCCTCGCCAACTCCGCCATCTTCTCCGACGCTGTCTCCGGTAGGTTGCCCTTTCAAACTTACGTCAGGCTTGCCGGAAAAGTGCAGATCCTGTTCAATTTTCACGTCGTCACCTACAGCACTTGCGACCTCGAAGTTGCTCTCTCCAATCGCACGCTTTCCAACCAGAGATGCCACTACAGGACCAAATTATAGTAAGGTTTCATGATGGTTAATTGTTGTGATTAAAGTTCTTATCTTTATTTTTATTTTTGGGTTTTGTTTTGGAAAAAGGAATGACTTTGATGCAATATATTTTTATTTGCTCATAATGACCATTTGAAACCTTGTTTATATACACTACTAGTGGAATTCTGCAGATAAAGTCTGCCTGTTGTGTGCCCTTTGTAATTATTTCGTTGTGAATATTCCAGTTCTGTATTAAAATAGTTCTATCTTTTTTTTTTCTATGTGCACTTAATCTGTCTGTTCAACTTTTGTGGAGATGGTATACAGTTGTACAGTAAATTAATTTGATGATCCTGACTGATCCGTGAGTAAAATATGACAGTGAATTTCCACCATATGTTAATTAAGTTATTCAGAGATAGTTGTGATTCATTTATATTGCTAGAAATTTTCCACCACAGGGGTGTGTGTGTGTTCCAATGGTAAAAAGCTCATTTGCTAGAAATTGATTGAATCTACTGTTTTGAGTGGAGATTTTGTATAGTCAAATGGGATCTCAGACATGTTGAGAAATTGATCTGAAAGCTGCCAAAAATAAAATCTGAGTGGTGGAGTTTTGGGGCCATTCTGAGGTCTCAACACATTTATGATGTCTTGTTCCTATCTGTAACCAACCCTTGTAGACAAATGTTGGCTGTGAGCCTTGGGATTATTGGGCTTCTCAATTTGCCATCTTTGGATATAGTAGCATTTAGTTATATATTCGTTCATTTTGCATCAGATAATTAACACTGAAATCACGAGCAACACTGAGTTTCCTCTCGCCGTCTATCTTCAATATCTCTAAGGATGTATTTTGTTCAACAGGTGGAAAGGGAGGAGAGGGACACTATGAATGGAAAACTGAAAAGGGAATAGATGAGATGTATCATGTAATGTTTATCTTGTTTGGTTTGGTTTCTTAGGAGGGAAATATGTAAAAGTCTGTTTGGTGAAGGGGTGGTGTAGAATAATTATGGTTATTATTACTATTATTAGTAGTAGTAGTAGTATTCTTATTATTTAATTAATGTTACTTAATAATTAGTAGTTAGCTTGGAGAATAAGCTAGGGTTTAGTTTGAAGGTCTTATTTAAATGACTCTTTTACTTTGTTATTAGGGGAATTGATGATTGAAGAATAAAATATGTTCTTTTGTGGTTTCTCGAGAGAGAGTTATCTCATTTATCCCTTTCGACATTCACGTCTACATCAGTTGGTATCAGAAGTCAGCACAGCACGATCAAGATGTCGCCGCGGAAGGACGACATCGACGAGCGTGACGCCACCACTGAGTATTCGGGTCAACAAACCACGTGCTTCGGCCAGATTGAGGATCTTTCAACGGAGATCGAAGAAGTGCGTCTGATCAACAACATGGTTGAGGATTTGCAGACGAACCGTGAAGCCGACAATCGGAGCGTGTAAGGGGGAGTCCGCGGAGGACGTGGTCCAGGCGGGGCGCCTGCCGGAGATCTCCACAACCACCATCCGGTGACGAAGACGGCGAGAAGACAATCTCGGAGGTGAACTCTTTCGACGATTATCAATCTCCGCACGTCAAGGCTGAGCCCTTCGCTGCGTACGGCGACGATCAACGCAACGACAGGGGCTGGCACGAGGAGGAAGCCTTCGCTGGTGGATATCGTACCCGATGCGATTGGGGACTTGATCACGAATGTGGTCATTGGAAGGGCCCGTTTCGCGTTGACATCCCAGAAATTCGACAGAGACCAAGTTGAGCATTCCTTTGTTGAGAATAGCATTTTCTTCCAAACTCTCCTCTCCTTTCACAGTCGAGATTCTTTCTCTCCACTCTTCTATGACTGAACTTCGCTTCGTTTGTATCTAAGACCCTGAGATGTCCTTTTATAGATTATCGAACCTCCAAAAGACAGAATCTCCAAGGGATTCGACAATGCCATAACCATGGGTTACAGTGCAAGAGATCTTGGAGCACTTACCAACGAGGCCCTATCGATGAGTATTGCACAGAAGATATCCAAGTTTGCGTTAACCGACATTAGTCCTTTCATGTATTTTTTTCATCCATGAAAGGCTAAACAGAGGCGGGCGAGCTTGCCGAAGTGATACACCTACCCATCACGATGAGTTCTCGTTCGATTATCTCGGGATCAAAGACTCACTTATCTGGGTTTGGATTAAGATAATTGGAAGGCGGGATATCATTGTCTTTTACCATTCAGAGACGGCTTTGTCACCTTCTTCATGCGAAATACTGGACTTCTTCTTTTATGTTATTATTTCGGGGAGGCTTCTTGTTGACTTATAAAGATCATTCTTTCGAATTCTAGAGGTGGAGACCACCATATGCATGGGTAGACCTCTGAGATAAACCAGCGGGATTCGGGAAGGATGAATCGCTCCCGAAAAGGAATCTATTGATTCTCTTCCAATTAGTTGGACCATAGGTGCGATGATTTACTTCACGGGAAACTACAAAAGAACTACTCTCAGAGACCTAAGTGGGATAAATCTGAAACAACGAACGAAGTGAAGCGTAGTGAAGGAAAGAAATGTTCCCTCCTACGTATATAGGATATTTTTAAAAGTAAACATCTTTCTTAGTGGTGGGTTCGGGGGAAAGAATAGGAAAGGCAATTTCACTAGACAGAGACCAAGTTGACGGACCATTGTACGACGGTCTGCCCATTTTTTATGAGGAGCCTTTGGTGACAGAGACATATATTTGCGGCGATATGAGCCTCGCGTAGAACGTCGCAGAAGTTGAACATTCGAATAGTCAACCGTCGGTCAGACCCAATTTTCGGTGTATCTTGGCCATGGATGGTTTTTCGGAGCCGAAGCCAAGGTTCAATAACTGGTAGGCCATTTTCCGATTGTCTATCGCGAAGTCTCCCAACAACAGGATGTTTGACTGTAGTTATGGATTTGAGCGTAGCGAACAATGTGGTATGTTTTGTGTTAATTCAACTGTGTGGGTTATGCGTATGAAGGCGTGTACATGTGCCTTTCCAGCAGTTTAGTCCTTGCCCAAAATTATGCTTTCGGCGTTGTTGGGCGACCTTCAACCTTCGTGTTCAATCGGGGGAAACGCCGGGGTATTCAACGGGAACGGGTCGGATTCAAGGGCGAATCATGCTCAAACAGGAGAGAATGTTGCAGAATTATTATTATTATTATTATTATTATTATTATTATTATTATTATTATTATTATTTATTTATTTAATAATTAGTAGTTATCTTGGAGAATAAGCTAGAATTTAGTTTGAGGGCCTTATTTAAATGGCTCTTCTACTTTGTTATTAGGGGAATGAAGTAAGAAATTGAGTGTTTGTCATGTTTTGGTGTTCCTGGGATTGCAATCTCATTAATATCGTACGCTTCTCTACATCAAGGGCAAATTTAAGATTTTACAAAAGTTTATAAAAAAAAATGGGGTCAACCATATGAGTTTAGTGGAAAAGGGTGAGAGATGCTTAATCTATTTTAGGAAAAGAACTTGTTGAATGTTAGATTATTCGACAAATAAACATATACTAGCTATGCAAATCCAAATAATCAGCAGGCACTCACAAACATTTGGGTAAAATATGAGACTGTATCATGTACATTTGGTAATAACCAAATAGATTATTAACAAATATACACTCACGACAATTATTCACTAGATAATCAATAATGATTGAACATTTCAATGATCTAACTTATCAATTCATCCATTTTAGTTATATCATCTCAACCTTTGATGGAGCTAGTTGGGTTTGGTTTAATAAAGTAGTACATTCATAAATCAAATGGTAATCGGATTTTCGAAGCTGAACCACAAATTTTTAATAGATAATTCAAAATTGAAATAAAATTCAAATTATTGTTTACGGTGTATGAATACGCATTTACTTTAAATTAAAAATTGAAAATTCAAATACACCTACCCAACCACGAAAAAAACTTAAAAAGAGATATTTATCAAAATTGTGTAATTATATATTAAAAACAAATATATATATATATATATATATATATTTATCTCAAAGTTTTAATAAATGATTTTTTGTTGTTTTTTTATTTTTTTTATGTTTGACCGTTTAGGAGAGCATGGATCCAACAATTCCAAAATAAAAATGGCGAATGTTAGCGTTGTGTGGGAATAGACGCGAATTCCATCTCTAATTTAATTGGTGCATTCAAATTTTGTCCCTTAATAATTGTTCAAACTTTGATGACGAGTAGTAGGCTAGTAGCTCATGGTATTAGGCATTGTGTGTATATTATAGCCACATCTATATATATATAGGGATTGATTCAAATTAAAACTGTCAATATGGCTCGTGGTCCGGCCCACCCCGCCCCGCCCCGCAAAAGGGGCGGATTGGGTTGAGATTTTCTAGGCCCGCATGGGAGCGGGCCTAAATGGGCCAGCCCACGCGAGCCGCGGGCTAAGGCGGGACGGGGCGGGGCGGGTTAGCCCGCGGGCTGGCCCGTCAATTATTAAAAAAAATAAAAAATATAAAAGAGGTAAATGTCCATATGTTCCATTTCAACGCGATGAACCCTAGTTTTCTCCACCTCGGCGCTTTCCACCAGATGATGGCGATCTCCAGTGCAGTAGCCAGAAATTTAACGTCGCTCTACCAGGCGGTCATCACCGCGATGAAGGTCTATGGGCTGGCTGAAGCTTTGACGGAACCTCGGTCCTCATCCTCACCATGGTGGTGGTAGCAGCGATCTTGGCCACGAGTCTCGCCTGGGACGTCTGGTGCAAGGCCGTACATGCGTTCGTGGCGGCAAGGGAACCCGCTCCCAGGTCTATTTCTGCCTCCCCCGAGCACCATTAGAAGAATTGAAGAAAATTGAATGCAAATTAAAGAGTGATTTTGGAGTAAGAAATTGAAGACACCATCAGTTTTTCCACCCACTAATTGCGTCAATTGTAGATCCATTTCAATAATTGTGTCAATTGGATCCCACCCCACTACAGTTCCAATTTCCAGCCAAATAGATTTCGATAAATTAAAACAATTTATGTTAAAAAAATAATAAAAAAAACAGAATTGGCGGGTCAGGCCCGCCACACCCGCGGCCCGACGAGGGGGCGGGTTGGGCCTGCATATCCTGGCGGGCCAGCCCGCTCCGCCCCGCCAATTGGCGGGCTACGGGTCGGCCCGCCCTGCCGGCCCGTTTTGACAACTCTAGTTCAAATGCATCCGCTTATTTAAAGTGAGGACGTGAGACTCATTCCTAGCCACAAGATTTAGATCTTGATTTAAATAATANGGCCACCATGTAGCGATGTGGTGGCGTGCAGCCTGTCCAGTCTCGGGCCGTGAGCCTGCCCAATGCGATGAGGAGTGAAATGTGTCTCTCTACCTGCAAAACAATGTGAGAAAACATAAAAGTAATATCCCTATGCTTCGCACTATTCCTTTCTGTCCAGGTGAACCAAAGGATCAGACAAGGAATGAGGAAGCCCACGTGTCTAAGGTGTGTGCTCTGTGAGAAAAAACTCAGAAGCTCAAAGAAACTGTATGTGGTGGGTAGGGATATATGTGTCCAAGTGGCAAAATGCTCCCACACTCTCCTCACAATCTCACTCTCTAGAAAAAGGTGGGTAAAGGTCTCGGTCTCATGGCAACCAGTCTCAGAACAACACACACACCGAGAGGGGAAGGGGATCCCCCTTGCGTGTAGCACAGTATCGACGAGTATCCGGCGCAAGATGAGGCGCCAAAGGAACACCGAAATAGTAGGGGTGAAAAGGTCACTCCAAATGGCCCCGAAGAGGAGATTAGGCCGATCCCTCAGCCTGATCTGCTCCCAAGCCGAGGTAATAGAAAACACACCCGATGATGTAAGTCTCCACCTCATGCTATCTGAACCGTCCCCCGAGATAGGGATCTGCTGGATCTGATCTAAAAAATGCCCGCTAAACCCCGCACCAGACCCCAACTCCCTATCAAGCTTCCCCCTATCCCACGACCCGTCCGTCCAGAGGTCGCTCACAAGCAGGTAGGTGGAATGCGACACCTGCATATCCCTAGACAATGGCCTGTCACCTACCCACCACTCATCCCAGAAACTAACATCGCCCTCGCCCAGAACCCAGAAAATGTGATCTTGGGCACGCCTACCAACCCTAGTAAGGCGCCGCCACTACCTACTATCATGATCAACAGCCGTCACCCAACAAGGGTGGTTGGCACGTCTAGGGCAGTACTTGCCGCGAAGGTACTGAGCCCAAAGCGACTTTCCTTCCCTGAAGTGCCACCATAGCTTGTATGAGAAAGCTGTAACGATGTCCCTGAGGCGGCGGATACCAAGTCCACCCTCGGGGATGGGGCGACAAATGGAATCCCAACTCACCCAGTGGGTACGTCTCCCCCTCCCAGAACCGTCCTCGTAGCCCCATAAATAACGAGCCATAATCTGGTCTATCTCGTCAAGAGTAGACCTAGGGGGTCGAGGACCTTAAGCAAGTGAATCGGAAGAGAGCTAAGAGTGCTCTTGATCAGCGCAAGCCAACCACCGAAAGAAAGATGTCTATGCGACCACCCAGAGATCCTGTCGATCATCCTCTGCCTGACGCCCGCAAAGAGCGCTCTCGTGAGGTTGCCCTTATATAAAGGGACGCCAAGGTAGGTAATCGGAAGGTCGCCACGCGCAAAGCCAGTAATGTCGTGGACCCGCTGAGCCCAGCTGTCCGCGCTGGAAGAGGAGAGGGTGGATGTGCTCTTCTGCACACTGACCAGCTGACCGGTAACCGAGCCATAGTGCTCCAAAAGGCGCATTAGCTCGACCAGTCCATCATCATTCGCCCGGGTGAAGATGATGATGTCATCCGCGTAAGAGAGGTGAGAGATGGGAGGACCATAGCCACGGGTGCTATACGTCATGTAATATCCCATTCAGTAATTAATAAAATTAATTATTCTAAGTATGAACTAATTACTTTTATTAATGCTCGTTCCTAGTTCCGAGCCAGTTCAGTAATTAATTAATTTCGGTCTGTTTATTTTTATAAATGGATTTAAAAGACGGGATTAATTAATATA